ACTCCTGATCGTCTGTGTCCACCTCGCTGAATGCTGGGACTGCAGGTGTTTACACCAGGTGTAAACACCTCGCCTGGTTAATGCCGTGGTGGGGACTGAAGGCTTTGTTCATGCCAGGCAAGAGTTCTAGGAGCTGAGCCACGTCCTCAGGTACATTTTATCAAAACAAAGACAGTAAAATGTCAGGAGTGTACTTTCAGGATGATTCTGCTCTCACCACAAGTTTCAGGCCCAACCTTATTACTTTAGCACTCAGATGAGACCTCATGCTTTCTCCCACCACCCAAGCAAGGTCCAAATGAAACCCCTAGCTCTGTTTCAGGTGGAGCTAATTCCTTGAAACCCCACCCTCCCTATGTTTCACAGTCATCTCCTCCCAATCCCTAGTAGTTGCTGGAAGGAAGCCCTTCCAGGCCAGGCCAGGCCCAGCCCACCCTGTAGGGCAAGAGAGATAAGGAAAAACAAGCCCTTTTACCATAAAGCAGATTTTTCTAGGCTACCAGCTCATTCTTGGTCCACCTCCACCTTCTAAGGGTCAAGGTGCACGCCTCTAGTAGGCTGGGAGCATTCTTTCGAATTTTAGACCAAAGACCATGCTACCTTTCTTCTCTCCACACAGCTTTAAGGAGCTAAAGTTCAAGACCCCAGTGCCTTCTGTGGCAGGCTGCACCTGTGCCCTTCATTTCGCACTTCACGCTGTGAATACAAAGGGAATCAGTTCCGCTTGGCGCCCTGCGGTGGCTCTCCATTGCTCTGGGTTCTTAAGGTCCACCTTACCCCTAAGAATGACATAGGCCCCTTTCGACTCCTCTCACTTGCAGGCTCACGCTGGAGCCCATTCTCTCCCTCTCATCTCCGTCCCTCTCTACTTACCGAGCTCAGTCAGCTTTGTCTGCGGGTGTCCTGTCCGGTTCGGCCACCCCTAATATCCAAGCCTAGGAGTGCGAGACCAGGAGGGGCTTAATGGCGGCGACCGCAGCTGGGTCCGCGCCTGCAGGTGAGGGGGAAGGGAGTCCCGCCCTAAAGTGGCCAAGCAGGTGGAGGAGGGGCGTCCCAGGTTTCGGTGCCTTTGTCCCAGGGGAGGGGGAGGGGCGTTTAACTTTTCTGGGGCCGCGGGGGCCCGATCGCCTCGCGGGGCTCGATGCAACCCTCGCCTGCCTAGGGACATGCCTCCCCAGGTGGCCGCCACCTGGATCAAAGCTCCAGCACTCTACTCAAGCCCGCACTCACTCTGCCACATCCCCTGCCTGCGGATTTTCATACCCGCAATTTACACACTTACCCCAGGCTCACCTGCTAAAGCGACAGCTAAGGTTCCCAGGTCGAAAGTAGGAATGAGGGCGGAGGCAAGGGGTCTTAAAGTCTCAATGACGTCACTGGACCACCTCTCTCTGGGAGGAGCAGAGACCCCTGCCGCGATAGCCACCCGAGTGTCTTTCCCAACGTTCTCTTAGTTGCTGGCCACTCCGAGGGCGGCACCTGCTGAGTTCAGCAACCTGGTCTGTGACTTGAGAATTTACTCAACTTTTCCCAGTCCCAGTTTTTCACTTTGCGAATGAAGACAGGTCTGTATGTTACCTAAAAATACATTACTTTTTTTTTTTTTTTTTTTTTTTTGTGGGGGTAGGACGGGGAGGGGACCTGTCACACTGCATACCTATGGTCAGAGTTTGTTCTCTTCTTCCACTTTGTGGGCCTCAGGGATCGAACTCAGATTGCCAGGCTTGGCAGCAGGCAATCTTACCCACTGAGTCATCTCGTGTTCTTACATTGTTTTTGTTGTATCCCCGAGGCCCTTAAGAAAGCAAGATATATGGCCAGGAGTGCTGACACATGTCTTTAATCCCAGGGCTGGGAAGGCAGAGACAGACGGATCTCTGTGAGTTCGAGGGCATCCTGGTCTACAGCGTGAGTTCCAGGACAGCCAGGGCTGCACAGAGAAACCTTGTCACAACCAGCCAAAAAAAAAAAAAAAAAAAAAAAAGGTAGCACGTGGATCTGGAAAGATGGCTCATGGATTATGAGTCTTTCTGCTTTTGCGCCCAGTTTATAACCACCTGAAATTCCATTTCTAGGAGATTCGTTGCCCTCCTCTGGACTCCAGAGACACTCATACATATGTGGCACACACACACAAATAAAAGCTATCTTTCAAAAAAGAAAGAAGTAGCATTTATACATATGCTTGCTTGCGGTACTGATACTGGAGAACGCCAAAATCAAAACCAGCCTAAGCTATACAGCTAAAAAACCAAACCAAAGAAAATCCTGGTGTGGTGACGTCTGCCTGCAATCCTACCACTTGAGAGGCTGAGACAGAATGTTTTGAATTCGAGGCTACCCTGGGATAGAGTGTGAGATCTTGTCTCAAGAAAAAAAAATCCGAAGAAAGTAAGCAAACTTATAAAGGATGTGTGGATATAATTCAATGCTCGCCTGGTATGTTCGAATCTCTGGTCTCCACTCCAGAATTGCAAAGTAATAGACAAACAAATCTAATTTATTTGGACTCAAAAAGAAGAAAAACCCAAATATGTAGTTATGTCTTATAACTGATTTCCTCCGCTCCACATGGTGGGGACTCAAGTTCTCAGAGGGCGGAACAGGGTAGACACTTGGAGGGACTGTGTTGAATGAATGGTTTAAGTTAACTGGGTTTAACTTCACTTAGCAAACCAGAGTGGCTGCTGGGGCGGGCCGAGGCAAGGAAGGACTCCGCCCCGGAAGGCGGGGGCGGAGGCGGAGCCGCAGCCCTGAGTCTTGGCTCGCCGGTGGTGGGAGCAGAACGCTCTTGCCTCTGGACCGGCAATCATGGCTCCGGGTTGGCCTCGGCCTCTGCCGCAGATCCTCGTGTTGGGAATCGGGTTGGTGTTGATGCGAGCCGCGGCCGGGGAGCAAGCACCAGGTATGCATGGCTCAGAGGACAGTAAACCTCGGACTTGGGGGTGGCCAGAAACGGGATTTGGGTGCCTGGAGAACGGGGTAAAACCGGGGAACCGGGAAGACACGAGGATCTGCGATCCGTGCTCTTCAGGCAGCGAGTTCCAAGTGAGGAAGGTCTCACTCCAAGTTTTATCTGCAATCCGAGCTTCAGTTTCGGTACCTGTCCAATTGAGATGTGGGGGGTCTTTTGTCCCAAAAGCGAGAGCCAGAATAGAGAGAGAAAGTAAACTTGAGGGCAGGAGGTATGTTTGGGAAGGGGGCACGCCCTCACACTGGTCTGTAATGGGGTCTGTCCAGTCCTGGTATCTAAGAATCGCGAAGGGGCAATGGGGACTTTGCCCTCTATACCATGTGGGGGTGCCCCTTCCATCCGGTGACTTCAATGCCCAGTTATGCGGGAGGAGGGACTGGGGTCGGGCCCTGTGCCCAGGAGTGAGTCACACTGTGGCGCGGGGGGGGGGGGAATTGACCCCCCCCCAAGTCCCGCGGTACCCGACCCCCTCCCGCACTGCCTCGTCTGGGTCAGGCGGTGCGGTCACCTGTGAGGAATGCGGGGGTGTGGGGGGGCAATGGTGACTCACGTTATTCGAGCCGACTGACCCTGACCTCAGCCCCCAGAATAGCCGCACCCAGCCGCCAGCTTCTGACCTGCAGCCCCCTCCCCAGGCACCGCCCCATGCTCTAGCGGCAGCTCCTGGAGCGCGGACCTCGACAAGTGCATGGATTGCGCTTCTTGTCCAGCACGACCTCACAGCGACTTCTGCCTGGGATGTGAGTGGTGGGGGGGGGGGCGGGGCCGGTGGCAAGCGGATCCTAGACCTGAGTAGATGGTTACTGGGGCAGAGAGGAGGGTTGTAGACTTAAGATATAGGAAATCAAGGAAGACTGACTGAGGAAGGGTAATTCAATCAGGGTATGGAGGGGGGCGTAAGCTTGAGACCCCCTCGAGGGCAGACTGGACTGCCGTCCCAAGGGCAGGCTCTGATTTGAACCCCGATCACTAGGCGCTGCAGCACCTCCTGCCCCCTTCAGGCTGCTGTGGCCCGTTCTGGGAGGTGCTCTCAGTCTGGCCCTGGTTTTGGCACTGGTTTCTGGTTTCCTGGTCTGGAGACGATGCCGCCGGAGAGAAAAGTTTACTAGTAAGTGAGCTCTCCACCCTCGCTCCTCCCACCTCCCTCCACTTCCCTAATTGTCCCCTAATCACGACAACCCCACTTCTTATCTTCCAGCCCCCATAGAGGAGACTGGTGGAGAGGGCTGCCCAGGTGTGGCACTGATCCAGTGAGGAGCACCCACGCTGGTGCCCACTCATCGTCCATTCATTCATTCTGGAGCCAGCCTGGCCTTCCAGACACAAGCCGAGCCAGACTCTTCCAACCACAAGGGGGTGGGGCGAGGTGGTGATTCACCTCCAAGGACTGGGCTTAGGGTTCAGGGAGCCTTCCAAGGTGTCTAATTGCCCTGTCTCTGGTTCCGGGGCAGAGAGGGGGCCTCAAGCTGGGTCACAAAGCGACTCATATTAAGGATCTGCGGCATTTGCACGAGGGAATCTCTTGTTCCCCACAAGTCCTGGCAGCCTGGCTGACTTGAGGGGCAGACACGACACTGGGTTCCACCCACTCGGATGGACTATAACGCCACTACCCTGAGTTTTAGCCCTGGGAGTGGGTCAGATTGAGGGACCTGTTCTTAACACTACGGGGGCTGGCCCTCTGGGAGGGCTGGCCCCAATCCACAAACACAACCCATCCCCCAAGGGGAGTGATATTTATTTTGAGAATAAAGTTTGGAGGGGAGGGAGACTTATTAATAAAAGAATCTTTAACTTTAAATGGTTTGGAGTATGGCCTGATCCCCAGCTTGATCCCCAGAACTGGAGGGAGGGAGTCAGTCAGCCACTGCGGGGGCGGGGGGGTGAGGCTCTGACTCACACATTCTCAATGCCTGGAGCCTAGCCTGCCAGGACCTGGCTTGCCCTCACCGTTTTCCAGGGAAGATTTTGAGGAGAAAACCCCAGCATCCAGTACTCCACCCTCCCCAAAGGCTGCTGCGAAATCTTCAACTGCTCACAGATCTTTATTCACTAATGGGGTGACACTTTTCCTTTCCCAGGCTGCCTCTCACTGAGGCTCCACCAAGCTCAGTGTCCTCCTGTGAGGGGGAGGGTCATGGTGGCCAGGCACCTGGTTTGGAGAAGGACTTCATCCCTTTCTGGGAGTTGCTGGTCTTTGTTGTCAGGAAGAAGGTGGGAAGGGACACAGGCCATCAACATTCAGAGCTCCATGATATCCCCAGCTGGGGAAGCAGGGTAGTAGGGACTGGGGGTATCCCCCAGCCTCAGCAGCCTGAGGGCCTCAGGAATCATGCTCCCAGGATAACGCCAGAGAAGCAGCTCTGGGCAAGGGCTCCTGAAAGAAGAAAAAAGATTGAAAGAACAGGGCAGAAGGCTGGCCTGGCAGAGTCACCTCCTACCAGGTCCAGGTTCCTTGGAGCCAAAGATGGAAAACAGCACAGAAGTTGGCTAGAAGCTAAAAATAGCACGATGAGGCAGAGAGTGAGGAGGGGCTCTGAGGACCGGATGTGATCCTCTAGCAGGCCCTCAAAGGGAAGTGCCTACCTGAGTGGTGGCAGGGCTTCGGGAAAAGTCACAGGGGGACTGCAGTAGGGGTGGTCATTATGTAGGCTGAGTCGGGAGAAATGGGTGGCCATGTTCTCCTCAGACAGGAATTGCTTGTGCAAAGGTTCTCTGAGGAAAGACCAGAGAAGAATAGAAGCAGGGATGTTGAGAGTGGAGGCAAACAGATAAAGACCATCTTGGGAGTCCCATCTGCCCCTACACTTAGAAGTTCCTTCTCAGCCGGGCGGTGGTGGCGCACGCCTTGAATCCCAGCACTTGGGAGGCAGAGGCAGGCGGATTTCTGAGTTCCAGGCCAGCCTGGTCTACAGAGTGAGTTCCAGGACAGCCAGGACTATACAGAGAAACCATGTCTCGAAAAACCAAAAAAAAAAAAGAAGTTTCTTCTCTAGGGCTCTCCATGTTCATCGGCACAGCTCCTCAGAGAGGGGAGCTGGGAAACAGCTCCAGGTTAAGTCCACCCTCTGCCCCTTCCCAAAGATCTGTTCACCTGAGTCTGCAGGGTAAACTAGGATTCCAGAATCAGCCTTGTCTTGTGTGGCCTAAGCCACCTTCCCACCAGGCTACCTCGGAAATCTTGACCTTGGCTTCCCAGCTGTACCACAAGCTCAAGCACCACGGTTTCCTGCACCACCTCGCCACTTTTAGGATTTCCCCCCCCCCCCACTACTGACCAGCCCTATCCCCCAGCCAAAACTCCTGCCCTCCGCTAGTCTGGCCCACTCAGAGACCGCTTACGCACCTGGCGTCCAGGCCGCGAGTCACCCCAGTGGTGGCCCGTGGGTCCCGACCTGGGGGACCTCGCTCCAGGGGCTGTTGCAGGATCATTACGACTCGGGGGTCCTGCAGATAGAGGGGTGGGATTCACGCAGCAGAGGCGGAGCCTTTGAGGGCGTGGTACAGCGCGAGAGGCGGGGCCACTGGCGTGCGCACTGGAGACGTTCTACGCAGGCGCGGAAGAAGCCGTACGAGGTTAGAAGGCGGGACAGGTCGGCGTGGTGGGGGAGGGGATCCGGCGTGGCTGGGCAGCTCTGGGCGCTGCTTAGCTGTGTCAGGGTGCTTCGTGGAGCTCTCCTAGATTTGTGTGGTTCGAGACAGCACGGATCTGCCGCCTTAGTTGTTGGGCGACAGGCAGTGCCAAGTTTGGGGCGCAACGAGAAGAGCCACCCCCAGGCACGTCCGGAGTCGAGAGGTTGTGTCGCGCGTTGAGAGAGTGTGTTTCACGTAGAGCCCTCTGGGACTTGTAGTTCTCAAGATGGAGCATGCCGCACCGCTCGCGGTGCCTCTGGGTCAGGTGAGTCTAGTGTGTGCACAGTGCCTTCTGGGGTTTGTAGTCTTGCTCTGACGTCTGACCCTGGAGTGTTCCAGGATACCCAGTGTTCATAAGTGGCTTGTGGGACTACATACCCTGAGCCCCCGAAACTTTGGGATCTAATAGTGACTGGAGGATTAGATGTCGGTACATTTTACTGTGCGGGATAATAGAGCCACTTAAAAAATTTAGCGCCGTTGGATATAGTGCCACACTTAAAATCCTAGCACTGGGAATGGAGGGGGAGAGTTAGAAACCAGCCTGCTACATAGTGAATTCCACGTCATCTAGTAATATATAGTTAGACCCTGACTCAAAAAAAAATGTTCATCATAATTTTATATGAGGCGGCCCTCCCCCTTTAAACCCAGGGTCTTGGGCATCATAAAAGCGTGCCCTGTCATTTAGTTACACTTCAGCCCACTGCTTACTGTTGTAAGAAAGTCTCATAACCGTTGAACTTTAATGACCTGGAACTTGTATTCCTCCTGCCTTTTCCTGCCACTGAGTGTCCCAGGCTGTTGGGTGTGGTGGAAAGCCCGATATGTACAATGTGGTGCTCATACACTGGGCTTTGGGTAAGAGTAGGTTTCAGGGGTGGGCGAGAGAGTGGAGGATCTGAGCTGGGTGCCAGCACTCAAGTTCCAAAGCTTGTAATTGCCTGTTAACTCCAGCTACAGGGGATCTAATCCTCTGGCTCCTGTGGACACCCATGCTCAGGATATGCACCCGTACAAAGTATATACTTTGCTCACACACTTATACAAAATATACTTAATTAAAAGCAGTAACATAAATCTTAAAAAAAAAAAGAAGAAGAAGAAAAGAGCATGGTCTACCAACTGAGCAGTGACTCTTATCCCCAAGAACCACTTCACACACACACACACACACACACACACACACACACACACACACATCTTAAACAAAAACAAAAACCAAAGCCTGATACCTTAAAGCCTTTAATCCCAGCACTTGCAAGGCAGAAGCAAGAAGATCTCTTTGGGGCCAGCCTGATCTACATAGTGAGTTCTGGGCCAGAGAGGATTTCTTGAGAGACTCTTTTCTGAGAGAGAGGGGGGTGGGGAGAAGGTAGAGAATGCATTTCAGAGGGAGGTGGCATTCTCCTGGAACTGGAGGTGTTGTGCTCTGCCATGTGTGCAGTGTGAGGGTGGGTCCTCTGTAAGACTGGTGCACACTTACCTGCTAAACCATCTTCCAGACCTCTCCCCCCCGCATCCCTGTTTTATAAAGATTGATTTATTATTTCTAGCCACTTAGGGTTTTTTTTTGGTTTTTTTTTTTTTTTGTTTTGTTTTTTGGTTTATCGAGACAGGGTCTCTCTGTGTAGCCCTGCCTGTCCTGGAACTCACTCTGTAGACCAGGCTGGCCTCGAACTCAGAAATCCGCCTGCCTCTGCCTCTCAAGTGCTGGGATTAAAGGCGTGCGCCACCACTGCCCGGCTTTTGTTTGTTTGTTTGTTTGTTTGTTTGCCACTTAGTTTTTTGAGGTGGGGTCTGAGATACTTCAGGCTGGCCTGAGGTTTGTCCTTCTGAGTGCTGGGAGCACAGAGTACAGTGTGTGCTCGCTCTGTGCAATGCACTGTGCTAAGAGAGCACTTGACTAGCTCAGTTACATCCTTAGTGTATATTTGAGGCTATCACATGTAGCCCAGGCTGCCTTTGAATTCTCTGTATTGCTGAGGATAACCTTGAATGACCACTGATTTTCCTGCCTCCAACTATCAAGTGCTGGGATTACATCCTGTGCTGCCCCTCTGACTGCGATGCTGTCATGATTTATTAGTTTACCTAATCATGACAGAATTTCCTGTGAGTGCCATCTGTCTGCTCAGCCAGTGGGAGAGGCTTGGTCTTTCTCTAAGTTTTAGGCATGACTCCTCAGTTCACTCTCTTCCCGGAGCCATTCCTGCGTGGGCCGATGCCTGTGTTCCTGGCTGTGGTGGGCTGAGAAGCCTGGGCAGGGCAGGCAAGCGGGGGTCTGTGGGAGGAGGCCCCAGACTTCTCAGACTCTCCTGACCCACCCTTTTCCACAGGCTGAGGTATTTCAGGCCCTGCAGCGACTGCACATGACCATCTTTTCCCAGAGTGTCTCGCCCTGCGGGAAGTTTCTGGCAGCTGGCAACAACTACGGGCAGATTGCCATCTTCAGGTACCCTCTCCTCCGGTTCCCACCACACACCAGCCCTAGCTCCCTCTACACACCAGCCCTAGCTGCCTCCTTGGGCTGATTAGTGCTCCCTGCTTCTGACTTGGCTTCCTACCTCTCTTTCAGTTTGTCTGCTGCCTTAAGTTCAGAGGCCAAAGAAGAAAGCAAAAAACCCATGGTGATTTTCCACGGTGGGTGTAGCTGTTGAGTCTAGTTCAGGTGACCTCAGGAAAGAGAAGGGCATACAGGGGCTCATTAGAGTTTTCTGTGTCTCTTTAGCCCATGACGGGCCTGTCTACAGCATGGTCTCCACAGATCGACATCTGCTCAGTGCTGGAGACGGAGAGGTTAAGGGCTGGCTTTGGGCAGAAATCCTCAAGAAGGTAAAATATCTAGAGCCTGGGGAAGAACTGGGCTTTCCCACCTCAGGAGGTGTGGGGATCAGTGTTTCCTCCTGTGTTTCTCTCTGAAGGGCTGTAAGGAACTGTGGTGTCGCCAGCCTCCATACAGGTGAGCCAGGATCATGGTGGTGGAGGCAGGGGAGGTCATGGACACTACTTTTGTGATTTTGACTTTTTTCTTCCTCTACCTAGGACCAGCCTGGAAGTACCTGAAATCAATGCCCTGCTGCTTGTCCCCAAGGTCTGAGCATTCTAGGCCAAATGTTGATTTTTTACCCCTTCCTACCCTGATGGACATGGACTTCCAGCTCTCTCCTATCTCCCTCTATAGGAGAATTCACTCATTCTGGCTGGGGGAGATTGTCAGCTGCACACCATGGATCTGGAAACTGGGACCTTCACAGTGAGTAGGGGTCTGCAGCCAGAACTAGTCTGGTCCTGTAGTATGCTTCCTGGATCTCCTGAGCCTTCTCTCTTCCTTGCAGCGGGCCCTCCGGGGCCACACAGACTACATCCATTGCCTGGCACTGAGGGAACGCAGCCCTGAGGTATTGTCCGGTGGTGAGGATGGAGCTGTCCGGCTTTGGGGTAAGGAAAAGTCCAATTAGAAGGTAAGAAAGTAAGCCAGGCCTAGTGGGTCAAGCCTTTAATCCCAGCACTTGGGAGGCAGAGGCAGGCAGATCTCAATGAGCCTGAGGCAGGCTGGTGTACATAGTGAGTTCCAGGACAGCCTGAGCTATGTAGACCTTGTCTAGAAAAATAAAAAACAAAAAATGAGGAAGTGGTGGTGGTAGGTCTGATCAGGAGCCCTGCTGGTTTTACTTCCCCACAGATCTCCGTATAGCCAAAGAGGTCCAGACCATCGAAGTCTACAAGCATGAGGTGAGGAGAGACTGTACCTGCGTCCCCTTCTTCATCCATTCTCAGATGCCCTCACGTCTTTTCTGCTTTGCAGGAGTGCTCAAGGCCCCACAATGGGCGCTGGATTGGATGCCTGGCGACTGACTCAGACTGGATGGTGAGCTGGGCAGAGTGTGGGATGGAGCGGCCACTGCAAGTCCGTGGCGCACAGTGACCGGAGCCTGCCCCTTTCTGCGCAGGTCTGTGGAGGGGGCCCAGCCCTCACCCTCTGGCACCTCAGGTCTTCCACACCCACTACCATCTTTCCCATTCGAGCACCACAGAAGCATGTCACCTTCTACCAGGACCTGGTGAGAACCTCTGTCTTGATTCTGCCCCACTGTCCAGTGCCCCCATCCAGACCTGACCCTTGCATCTCCTCTCTGTCTCTACAGATCCTGTCTGCCGGCCAGGGCTGTTGTGTCAATCATTGGCAACTGAGCGGGGAGCTTAAGGCCCAGGTGCCTGGCTCCTCCCCAGGGCTGCTCAGCCTGAGCCTCAACCAGCAGCCGGCAGCCCCAGAGTGCAAGGTGGGTCTTGGAATGGACTGAGATCTCATGGGGCCTGTGGGATGGGCAAGGCAGCCATGTATGTCTTCTTTGCTTCCAGGTCCTGACTGCATCAGGCAACAGCTGTCGAGTTGATGTCTTTACCAATCTGGGCTACCGAGCCTTCTCCTTGTCCTTCTGACATCATGGTCCTCCATTTCAGGAGCTAGAGTGATGTTTGTGTTTTGGTGTGGGGGGTCTTATACTTTAGCTCAGGCTGGCCTGGAACTCTGTGGCTTAGCTTGGTCTCACACTCCTGACTGAGATTTAGATCTGTGAACCATTACATTCAGTTTTTGTTTTCTTGTCAAAATAAAATTTTAGGCTTTTCTTGGTTGCATTTTCTTCCCAAAAATGGAGACCAATTAAGTATAGCGATTTATGTATTGCTCTGAGTTATCCTTACACATAAATACCCATCCCTATCCCTCTGGCACAGATGGGGCAGGGCCTGGCGCTTAGAAAAGATAGATTCAAAAAATAAACAGCTCTGCCCCCGCCACCCACCTAGGGCTCCTGCCCCAAAGCTGGCCCCTGCTCCCAAAGTGCCTCTGTCCACCTCTTGGGGCATGGAAGACAATGACCTCCCTTGGAAGTCGCTTTGGGCTCCATGGTTCCATTGGCTGTTAGGAAATTGAGCTTCAGAGTAAGAAAAGGTAGCCCTGGCCTCCAACCCTCAGGTCCTTCGGAAGAGGTTGCTCAGAAAGCCTCCACTCTGCCCGGATCCCAGGCGCAGTGAAAAGCGGGTCTTTGTGCGACTTGCGGCTGCAGCCTCACTAAGCTCTCTCTGGCGCTGGGAGCGCAGCTGCTGTCCAATCACTACTTGCATGTCGTCCTGCAGGTAGGAGCCAAAACAGGGTA